ATTGATTGATTGATTATCCCAGTTTTAAACCAAAACTCTGAAATATGTCCAGATTTACTTTACAGGTATAAAAACAATTTAATTCAAAATGACTTAACTAATCCCAGAAGGAAATAAACTTTTGTTGTGTGTATAATTTTTTTCAAAGACTTGCTGCAGATGCTGATGGTTTTGGGCTGGGAGAGTCTTCCGAAGCGGTCTGTGTTGCAACGGCTGTGATTAACCTCTGACTGAACACAACAGAGTCTCCATTTTTGTTTACATTTGTGAAGAAGGAAGTTGCACTCGGGGTCTTTTTCAGAGGTTTTTGTGTCGTTTCCTTTAGTGGTTCTTGGTGCAGCGCCACCTCAGGTGAGGAGCGGAACAGGTTGCTTAAACCGTTTATTTAGTTTGACACAGTGCTGTGTAATAGAAAACCAAAGCAACTAATAATGTAACAAATGTTGCAGTTTTGTTCTCAATCAAACCCAGTGTACCGGTCTATCAGACATGAAAATAGTTTAAAAGGTGTTAAAGTTAGGGAATCCAACTTTAGAAGACCAGAGCTGAAACACAACCACATAAGTCATCAGTAATTTTAAATTATGTTCCATAATTTATTTTTGTATCTAATTTAACCTCATGAAACTTATAGAAACCCAGCATAAAACCATCAATTTCATCTTTCACGTCCCCACGCACCGGAGCTAAGTTCGTGGCAGTCAGCATGTGTGTTAGCGCTCGACCAGAGGTGGCTGCTGGGCTGACCGACACTGACCATGTGTGTGTATGTTGTGTGTATGTATGTGTGTGTGCGCAGCTCCCTGCAGACTTCAGCAGACTACACCTGGCCGACGGCTTACACCCACAGGTGACCCACGTCTCGTCCAGCCACTCAGGATGTAGTATCACCAGTGACTCTGGAAGCAGCAGCCTGTCAGACATTTACCAGGTAAGGCCTCCACTCACCGGCCCTGGACCCCCAGCCAGGCCTGGGTAGTGTAGAGTCACACCGAGGATGTCTCGGTCTGCTGAATTATCTCACTTTTCTCTGAGGAATTCCGTAAAATAACATTTGAGTTTGGATGAAATGAACCTTAAATATGTGCATAAATGGAATCAGAATCGAGCTGAAGTTGGAAAATGTCCTCCTTGTGGCGAGCTGACATCCATCCCTGTGTGAACTCTCCATGATCTTTTTAAGCAGAACATTTTTCCAGCGTAATTCAAAGGTTTTGCTGGCGGAGCTGCTACAGGACCCTGACAGCAGAGCGGCGCTGCTCTGCAGGTGGCAAGCAGACAGGCTGGATGCTGCCGAGCAGGTGGTCCAGCCCACATCCTGCCTGCCTCCATCTCTGCCTTTTCATCACGTTAGAGCCAGAAGCACACAAGTCCTGCAGAGTTGGCAGCTCTTATGATATAACTCTGACTAAAATCTTTCACTAACCTCGCTGATTTACCTTTTACTCATGTTCAGACGCTACATGAAGCCAAATAAATTTCAGTAAAATAGTGGTGGACTAAATATCCAGCTTAGAGGGACACACATCTGCCAAATGTCATGACTATAGACTTCCCCCAAAACCTGAAGCTAATCCTCTTAGCGGCACACAGCCGCCCATCGGACCTGCTGTGTTCCTGTTTGTGTGTGTCCCTGTGACTTCCCGCAGGGCCACACTCAGTCACATTCTCTTTGTTTATCTCAGACCTCTTGCTGGTTCTGTTCTGGTTCTGGTTGTCGGGTTGCTGCTGAATGTTTTCATCATATCACCGGATTCTGTGTGTGGATGTCAGGCCTTGTTGAAGATGGCTGCAGCAGGTTAAACAGGCTTTACTGTCTGTAGTCCGGTCTGATCCGGGTCTCAGTGCCATCTGCTCACAGCTCTGGGACAGGATCTGGGTTTTTCTATGTCACATTCACAAACACCGTCCTCTGCTTTTGTCTTCCTCTTGTAAACTTTTAACACTTTTCTTCAGTTTCTTCCTTTGTTTTACCTTCTGTAATCCCTGCTGAACTCTTGATTGCAATGAGCTGTTTTCCCCATATTTGCAGCTTTGTTGGAAATTATGAATAAATTAAAAATTATGACCTATGACTATTAAATATACAACTGTTTAATAGCTCATCTAGTGGGTTTTTTATCAGTCCAAAGCTGAATCCTGTTTCACCCTTCACCTTTAGCTGTTTCTATAAGGTACGGAGTCCCAGTTGTTTCTGTGTTGTCTCAGGAAAAAGTGGAGCTAAGCTAGCAGACAACTCATAAATATAAATACTTTAAGTTTACATTATTTATGACACCAAATCCAGTGCAGCAATAATAGTAACAGAGATAAGATGTCCTAATTTAAAATATTTTGAAATGAAACCCTCTACTGCAGGGGTGGGCAATCCAGGTCCTCAAGGGCCGGTGTCCTGCAACTCTTAGATGTCTCCCTGGTCCAACACACCTGGATCCAACAGCTGAATCACCTCCACAGTGCAGTCAAGTTCTCCAGAGTTATTTGACTCAGGTGTGTTGAAGTAGAGACGCATCTAAAAGTCGCAGGAGACCGGCCCTCGAGGCCTGGAGTTTTATATATATATATATATATATATATATATATATATATATATATTTCTCTACCTTTCAACATCAAAGACTGATGCCATAATGACGTATTGAACATCCCTATTTAATAAATTGATTTTAATTCTTGTTAACCATCAAAAACAGAGAGAAAATGTCATATTTCTGTTTAAATATTTTTATTTTTTTATATTTAGAAGAACATACCTGATATAATAAGAATTTTTGTAGATTAGTAAACCTGAAATCCTATGTTTTGAAACTTTTGTGCATTATAATGTATTTTTCTTGGTATATTGTACATCTGTACAGTATAATATCAGAGTTGCAAAAGGCGACTTGGGTCCAAAATATGATGGGATTTATTTGCTTTACATTAGCCTATTAACACTGCCTTTGACCAGTTGGATGGACTCTTAACACCTGAGTGGTGTATCTTTAATGTTTAACATGTCAAAATATGTCTAATGTCATCAACATCAACAGTTTTCAGCAACAGTTTTGCATTTAGATATTTTCCTGATCTTGTGCAGTTAAACTATATTGGCAATATTGTACTGAAAAACTAAATACTGGTGCATTAGATTTATTTTTCTTTAGGGCACATTTGGTCCTCTGTATTTGTTCTTCCCTAACAAGCTTTAAAAGTAATGCATGCTGCATAGATAAATGTAAATGTCTCAGTTCTCAGTGGAGTTTTTCTCCTCTCCTAAATTAGGTGCCAAGAGGGGAAGTGAAAACCTTCGGAAACGAGGAGCTCTTGGGGTTATTCAAGCTAATCAACTCCTGAATTTAAATATTTTTCCAATTAATGTGTTTTTAATGACATGATAAGAATTGTATAGTCCAGCGTGTATTGTTCTTAGATATTAAACTTCTAATTGTATAACCTTAACCCATTTCAAAATATTTTACTATCAGAATATTAACAACACATATCTTTATAATTAGTGTCATTTCCAATTATTCTCCATAGCAAACAAAGTGAATATAGCAAAATCTAGAAGAAGCGAAGGCCACTATTGTGTCTACGTTGTTTTGATTTTTTTGATGCATTTACATTTAGCTTTATTTTTAACAAGCCCAGAAGAAAAGCTGAATATGACTGCTGCATATTTAGTAGACTTCATTTTATTAGATGACATCTGTTTAAAATAGAAGAAATCCACAAACACTAGTGTTGTATCAGCTTCCTGGGAGACTCCCTTCCCACTTGCTCAGTGGAATATTGCACCCACTACCTGCATAAAGTGACTGGTTAACCATAGAAAAAGGGATTCCGCCGAACTGCTGTCAGCTCCTAATGATGTAAAAATGCAAAAAGGAACAATCAGTTGTTTTGGTTTGTTTGCTGATTACCTAAAATGTGTCATTCCTCCAAAATTCTGACAACTTGCCTTTTTATCATCATATGAGCAATAACTGAAAATTACAACATCTTCCTCCAACATGTGTATGATGTCAGAGTGGTGATGCTACTCTTTTTAGTTTTGTTGCTTTTCCAAGCTTCTCGGGTTGTAAACAGAGAAGCATGCTGCTTAGCGTTTTATTAGTTTGATGCTGTGATGAGAGTTGCTAAGCAGACTGGGAGCAGGTTATGGATGGGAGCTCTGAGTGGTCGAACAACATGGCCTCTCTGCTGCAGCTGCTGTAAAATCCACATCCTGGGACTGGAGTGGAGCGCCCCTGCATCATCGGCGCGTCACTGCCAGCATGGCCGACTGTTTGTGTGTGAATAAATCATGATATTGGTCCTTTGAAAGCATTGATCCAAGAATAGCCTGCATGAAATATTAACAGCCCGCTGACTCCTAATGCTCGCTGCAGGTTTTTGAGGTTTTCATATATGCTTAATGTGCTTAAGAAAACAAAAACACATCATTTTAGCGCAGTATTTTGTCCAAACTGTAGCGAACCTGGTGACCTTCCAGTTGCAGTATTGTAGACACTAATGTGTAAAGCTCTCCATCTTGCATCCAGCATCATCTCTGCAGACATCAGCTTGGCTCCGCCCACCAGATTTTGCACCAATGGAGGCCAAATGGCCAGTCAGACGCTGAATCATTAATGAGCCTTTTCCACATGGCGTTTGAGGAGAAACGACTCAGTACGTCTGAGCATTAAAAAATGAAAAGCAGAGCGGCAGTCTGGAGGCGACAATGCGTCTGGCTCTTAGATGTTGTGGACAGTTGGCTCAAGCAGCCTGTTCTACTCTTGTTGTTAAAACTGCTAAAGGTGAACGGCGTTTTGTGGTAAGATTTCTTGTCGGGTACCCTCAGAACTGATGTTTTGTGTGGTCCAGAGGAACTGATTGCAGCGCTCATGCACGGGTATCTGCTCCATGTTCGCTCTTCTTAGCTGGCTGTGCACATATTTTATCTTTTGCTTTCAAGGAACAGGATCTGGCTGCAAGGCAGGCTGTGGAGTTCTGCTGAGGGGGGAGGAGAGAAGAAAGTTAGGATTTAATTAGCTTGTTACTATGCATAGCAGCCTGTTTGATATGCTGTCTCTCTCATACTGTATTCAATGCCTCATGTCACAAGGCGGTTTGAATCTCAGTGTTTGATATGGAACGAGTCTTTGCAGATGATGTTTGTGCTGGAGAACAGCTTCGGCGTGCGTATCAGCTGTAAAGCTTCTGGTCATTAATTAATTGACGAGCGTCCAGGTGATTGCTTCAGGTTGATCTCTGACGAAGTCACAGCGTCCCGCAGCGCGCTTCTCGCTCCACACACGCTGAACCTCTGATCTGTTTGCTCCCCTCAGGCCACAGAGAACGAGCCAGGCGACATGGACCTGAGCGGCCTGCCCGAGACCGCCGTGGACTCCGAGGAGGACGATGACGAGGAGGACATCGAGCGAGCCTCCGACCCCCTGATGAGCCGGGACATCGTCCGGGACTGCCTGGAGAAGGACCCCATGGACCGGACGGATGATGACATAGGTGAGCCACTAGGGGCGGGTTTTACTTCTACATGTTCAATCCTGGAGCCACATTTCATGTCATTTTTCATTTTATGATTTTTTTTATTTCATTACACAATAATAAATATGAGTAATTCATGTCAGGGTTGCACCAATCCACCTTTTTCACTTCTGATACTGATATCCGAGGTTCAGTATCGGCCTATACGATCCGATCCAGAAAAACATTTATTTTTTTAAACACCTGGGTTCTGAGCATAAGGTCACCCAGAGCACAAAGCATAGAATCAGACTGAATAGATCTTCCCTTTGTCACACTGTCACCGATACCCAATCTAGAATTGTTTTCAATATCAGGACCAATACAGATACTAATATCACATCGGTGTATGTCTTGTTCACATAACTAAACGAAATCATGAATGAAATGGAACAGAAAGAAGTATAAACTTATAAGCTCTGCTCCCTATTTACAAAGATAAAATCAGATATTCAGCTCATATGACTACTGCAGGCATATTTCAAATAAACAATAAAAAATACACAACAAAACATTAACTTATTCAAGACCATATTGCTTCATCATAATAATTTAAATTTTTTATTAATTGCAGAAAGAGGTTAAGCAGTTTTATCTCACTGTGAAGATTGTCGCACATAAACTGGCACCTTTAACTGAAATGCATCTTTCCATCATCAGGGACCTGAATCCACATTTTGTACATAAAATTAGTTTAACTGTAAGTATTGGGTTTGTGTGATCTCTCTGTCCACTTCCACTTATGACCCTTAACAGTTTTCAAATATTCAGCACAATATGTCACATATGGAATAATTAGTGAATTATACAAACTATACAAGACCTTTTTGTTTAGTAATTCCTTTACTCTATTTAAAACAGCAATTTTTATTTATTTTTACTTTTATGTGATTTATATAAGATTTCCATGACAAATACTCATCAGTGAGCGCATCTAAACACTTAATTAGATGTTCTTAATTAAGTTTTTTGGTATCCCAGGCATTCATCTCCTTTTCCCAGTTCGTAATAAAAGCCACTTGTTATTCAGATGAGCCACAGTAAACATCCACGGCTGTTATGTTGGCTTTCGAGTAATTCTCAAAGCCACATCAGGCTTTTCGTATCATATCCTTTAAAGCTATGACTCAACTCCAGCTCTGATGATAGGCGTGTTTAAAAAACGAAGTACACAGAGTCGGTCGGGGCTTAGCAGCTGATGTGGATTTTGGGTGAGGATGATGCATTGGATGCAGAGAGAGAAGGAGCGTGCGCCAGCCCTTCCCCCTCTCTCCATCCGCTGATCTCCCTGCTGCGCACCCTTTCCTCCCTCCCTCTGCCGGGAGGCTTTTCTAGGTCACTCCAGCACATCCTCTCGCCTCACCTCTCCCAGCGCATTAAACTTTCAGCGATATCGCAGCTTCACACACAACGCTGTTGCCATGCCAAGCCCAGGTCAGCCGGTGCACAAGACTGCTGCTGGTCAGGACCAAGGTGCAAGATGTTCTGGATGTTTTTCTTCATTGACTGTCAGTAGTGATACAAGAGAATAATTACAGCTTTTAAGCAATTGTACATGTGGAATTTAGTCATTTTAGTTTTTTATTCCGTTTATAAAATATTAAAATTAGTATTGCAAGCTTCATCCTGAATAGATATGTTAAAGAACAAAACTGGCATCCATGTAGGTGTAGCTCAGCATTATGGAGAAAATGCACATAGCAGGTTAAAAACAGACTGATTAGAGATTCTGATTAACCTTTTTACTATATTTCCACAAATATTGAAAACCGAAGATCCATGATGTGATCTGAATGCTTTTATATTAAATAAAAAGAAATGATGATCCTGCTCCTAAGTGATTTATTTTTCATCTTGCTCCTTTTAGAGTTGTACACAAGCTGATATGAGAAAGTTAATATCCGTCCTAATGTAAAGCAAAATCTTCCTGTGAGATCATAATAAACGTTTGGTTGTAAAAATACAAATACTTTTCCATTGTAAGAAAATTATGTCAATAGTTACACTGTTACAGTTACAGTTAATTACACTGATTAAAAATCAAAAGTTTAATAAATGAATTTGTGTCATTCTAAGGTAAGGGCCACAAAAGGCCCCGGGGCCGCACTTTGCACACCCCTCCCTGAGCATATCTTGTCACTGGGAACCAGCCGATGCTTTGCACTTGCTAGCATAGTTGGATAGCTGGTTATGCATGTTAAGAAATAAACTTTTCTCAGTTGTGCTTAGGAATTTCTCTGATTTTAATCCAGCTTGAAGGAATGATGAGTGACTCAAAAAGTCACAGTGTGATTAGTCAGCCATTATTCTTGGCCTCCCTCAGATGACTATATCAATAGAATTGATATTTGGCTCAAAGAGATTCCTCTGCTGGCTCCATGATGATTGCGGTGACGATCAGGTCTTCTTGTCTCGGTGGAGGGGAGATGCTGGATCACGCTAACCAGCAGCTCTGCTTCCTTTCTCTCTCCCATCCAGGAGTCAAACCTCTTCCAGAGTTTGATGGTTTTTGTCTGAACAACCTGTCTTCTCTTTTTGTCCCTCTTCACAGAGCAATTACTGGAGTTCATGCATCAGCTGCCAGCGTTCGCTAACATGACCATGTCGGTGAGGAGGGAGCTGTGCGCGGTCATGGTGTTCGCCGTGGTGGAGCGAGCCGGCACCATCGTTCTCAATGATGGAGAAGAGGTTTGTCTTGGTGCATTTTTATTCCATGTTCTGTGTCAGTCTGACCTCTACACACCAGCAGATCTTTGTTCCTCTGTTGGATGTTTTTTCTGCTCTGTTAACCCTGAATGGTTCAAATAGTTTATCTCTGGGTCATTCTAGGTTCCCTCACGCACCCAAAGCTAAACAACCATTTGGTTTGGGTTTCATATTTTCAATGCATTGCACTTGAACAAAAGGATAAAGAATTTATCTCTAAGGCCTTGATTCAAGAGTAAATTAATGCGTTCAGAGAACTTAGGCTTTAAGCATGTTGTTGCTATTATTGGTTGTCAGATTTTGATGAATTTATGTAAAAAGAAAAACAACAAAAAAAACATATTTTTTCCACTAAATGTATATCAATTTTTTGCTCTAAATCAAGCATGCAGTGGTTGCAACAATCCTCATTTAAGATCGCCTCTTCCCAAGAAAGAGAGCAAGAAACCATCTGTTATTCTGCTTTCTTTTTGCTTAATGGCTTTGACTCATTAAGGGACACCAGCTGTTGAAAATCCAACCATGTATCACTTCAGTTTGTAGGTAGACAAACCTATAAAGCATCTTTCTTATATCTGTATTAGGTCAAAGTGCTGCTCACATCAGTTCATAAAATAAATGAACATTGAAGTTACTCTAAAACTAGTAAACAATTGTGTAATAAAACCTTAAAAAGAGCAATGATTAAAAACGACAAGCATACACAGCATGTAATATTGAAAATAAAATAAGATATAATTTAAGACATGTTAACATGAGCATGTTGTATTTATTGAATCGGTTTCTCCATAGCTTATGTATATAGTTTTAAAACACATACCATGGAAAGAATGGGAAATAGTGGACTGCAGCGGTCAACAGGGATTATGGCAAGAGAACAAGTTTGTAAAGATGTTTGAACTTTAAAATCAACTGGAAGAGTAGAAACCAAACCTGGCGTCATGTTTTCTCCTCTTGAGTCCTGAAGTTTCCCTGTGGAAGCAAACAAGGTGTTAGAGTAATGTGGACATATACATTTCTGCATCTACTTTTGTCAGAAATCATATTTATTAAATGGAAGTCCAGAAACAACGTTCTGCATAATCTGAAATAGGGCTGCAACTAACTATTATTAGTAATAAATTATTCACACGATTGGTTGGATTAAAAATTGCCACATTTTGCAGATTTTTCATTTAACCACCACATCCTAATTTATACAAAAAGAAAATTAACTTCTTCTTGCCTAAAATGCAAAAATAGAATTTTCTTTTGTGTACGCTTGATCATTTGTAGCATCTTCAAATGTATCTAAGAAGTATGTAAAGACATAGGTCTAACATCAACACCGCCCGTGACTTACTGCCACTCAAATTGAACATACTAAAAAAACTAATAAGGTTTATTAGTCCTAGGTGCTAAATGTATATATTTTTTGTACAGTTATGATGTGATGTTGTGTTAGCAAATGATCTTTTCCAGTTAAAAATAAATTGATTACTAAATTAGTTGATTATTTCAGTAATCGATTCATCACAGGTAACTGTTTCTGAAGTGAAATCTGAAGTTGTTCCTGTTTTCTGTCTGCAGCTGGACTCATGGTCGGTGATCCTGAACGGCTCGGTGGAGGTGACCTACCCTGACAGCCGGACAGAGATGCTGTGCATGGGGAACAGCTTCGGTGTGTCTCCAACCATGGAGAAGGAATTTATGAAAGGCGTCATGAGGACCAAGGTGGACGACTGCCAGGTTGGAACCCTAATTTGAGTTGATCTGTCACACTCTGCTAGCATGAACAGCTCCATTTCCTTTGCATTTCAGTGTGCAAAACCTGGCAGGAGGCCTGTCATCCTGCATTATTGTGTCCCACTGTGCCCCACTTGTGCTGAAATGTTTGCAATCATGACACAGAAAGTTGCTTCCAGCAGTAGCACCCTCTTATATGTAGAGGGATCTGGTTTTTAATTATTAAACTGAATAAAACATTTATTGTATTAATTTGTAGAAGTATCTCCTACTGTGGTAAAGTGAATCGCCTCCTTTCTTTCAGTTTGTATGCATAGCCCAGCAGGACTACTGCTGCATCCTCAACCAGGTGGAGAAGAACATGCAGAAGGTTGAGGAGGAAGGAGAGATCGTCATGGTGAAGGAACACCGTGAACTGGATCGTACTGGCACCAGGAAAGGACATATTGTCATCAAGGTGACACCTCTACTGTCTTCTGCAGACGTACAAGTTTTGCAGGATCGACTTGTAAACTTCTGTCCTCATTCTGGATTATCAGGGCACGCCTGAGCGTCTCACCATGCACCTGGTGGAGGAGCACTCAGTGGTGGATCCTACCTACATCGAGGACTTCCTGTTGACCTACAGGACCTTCCTCTCCAGCCCCATGGTCGTGGGAAAGAAGCTCCTGGAGTGGTTTCACGACCCAAGTCTCAGGGACAAGGTACGGCCAACAGGGCGGAGCTGCCCTAATAATTAACTTTTTGATTACATTCAAATGTTTCTGAATTAGTTTTGAATTTGGTGCCCTGTGAAGATGTTGCCGTGGATACCAACGTGTGCCGGTCATGTGATTTTCTCAGGTTACACGGGTAGTCTTGCTGTGGGTAAACAATCACTTTAATGACTTCGAGGGAGACCCTGCCATGACCCACTTTCTGGAGGAGTTTGAGAGCAATCTGGAGAAGGAGGTACGTCTCTTCAACAAATGCAATGAAAAATTAGAGAAATCCATATTTCTGTTATATTTTTAATACCTTCTTTTTTTCTTTTTCTTTTTTTTGCAGAAAATGTGTGGGCACCTCAGACTGTTAAACATAGCGTGTGCTGCTAAAGCCAAGCCGCGGCTGGTGACGCTGACCAAGCCGTCCAGAGACTCTCCTCTGGCCTTCACCCTCCTCGGAGGTCAAGAGAAAGGTTTCTGCATCTTCATTGATGCCGTGGAGCCAGGGAGCAAGGCAGCAGAGGCCGGACTCAAGCGTGGAGATCAGGTGACTTTCACATGAAAAGATATTTGTGAAGTCCTCAATGTGGTTTTTGTTTGAATATTTTCCAGTTTTATTTAGCCCTCTGGCATCCTCAAAAGCTTTTTAATGTCTTTCTCTTGACAACTGTGAAGAACAATCTCAAAGTTATCTTTTTTTCCACTTGAAGCTCATTTTTCTTGTGAAATTGGTTTTATATTATGACCTAACTGGCATTAAAAGGCTTCCCTTTGAGAAGTCTTAAACTGAACTCTCTAGTAGCTGCAGGCACCCTGTAGACTTTCTCCTCGCAACTTGACATCCCAGCCAGTTTCACACTCTGCAGGCCTCTCAGCTGTAAGCAAAGGCTCTTAATCCTTGAAACCATCTCACAAGTGTCTGGGTGTGTGTTAAGCCCTCTGGACACCAAACATCCTCTGCAGCTGTTTCTTCCAAACGGAAGCTGTCTTACTTGGTAGCATTTACCCCCTTTACACCAGTCACACTGTCCATGTTTTACCCACTTCACCCTGTGATTCAGGACCTTCAAACTCACAGCTTTAGTGTTATTTTAGATGTCACAAAATCGTGATGTGCTGCATATGACATTTCATAAGCTATGTTTAAATATCTGATTGTAATGTAAATTTTGAGCAAACTCGGGTTTCCATCTACTAGTTTGGAGTGCAAACGCAAAGCGTGATTAAGTCAGATGTTGACATTAAGCAGAGCTGTAATAAACGGGTTAATGTTTGCTTAGTCAGAACTTATTCAGCAACTGTATTTCCATCTCCCTTTTAGCAAATGAACTCTTTTTCAGAAAAGCCAAAAATTAATATTTTTGCAAAATTGAAGTTATTTGCATCAACCTTTTCTAATATGATACTTCTGTCTTTTGCTTCTCACCTCACTCATCTAGACTCTTTGTGCTCCAAACCCTCTATTGAAGTTCATGGTTCAAGGGCCTGGTATTTTTTTTTTTTTTTTTTTTTTTTTTTTTAGCAAATTTGAGATATTTATGTTTGTGATAGGACAAAAAAGGGTTAGGGATTAGTGTCAGTATGTTGATAACTGTTGTTCTCAGTTTGCTTCAGCTATCTAAAAGCCACATGATGCATACCTGGAGATCAGCTGCATCTTAGTTGAGATTTTCTTCTTGATGAGAAAGAGCTGACTGATAGCTGAAGGTTCTCAGCTGGAAAAAGCAAATTCTGGTCTTTGTAACTCTTTCATGATGTTAAAAAAATTGCATTTTCTAGCTATGTTAAGGTTCTGATTTACTGGTTCTGTTCTTTCTGCAGATCTTGGAGGTAAATGGACAGAATTTTGAGACTGTCCAGTTCAGCAAAGCCAATGAGATTTTAAAGAACAACACCCACTTATCCATAACTGTGAAAACAAATCTTTTAGGTAAGTTTTAATGTCTCCTATTAATAATTAATCTAGTCTTTCTCGGAAATAAAATGTAACTTTTTCAGTGCTTGATTTAAGACTACGGCTGATCTTTTGACCTCATTGCTTTCCATTCAGTGTTTAAGGAGCTGCTGACACGGCCAGAACATGAGCATGAGTTGGACGGGGACGAGGAACACGACAGGAAGAACGGTGCGCCTCACCTACCAAAAATCGGGGACATTAAGAAGGGGAGCCGTTACTCCATACCGGACCTGGCTGTGGACGTGGAGCAGGTCATGGGGCTGGAGAAAGCCAGCAAAAAGGCCAAGAGCAACACAGTGGGAGGCCGCAACAAGCTGAAGAAAATCTTTGATAAGACACTCACCAGCATCCTGCCCCCGAAACCATACAAGTAAGAGAATTGACTTTATGAAAGTAATAAATCAAAACATATTTTTACTCTCAAATACATTAAACACTCAAAAAAGGCTGCAGTTTTCAGCACAAATGTCGCCCTCTGCTGTTGCTGACAGAACTGCACTCACACTCTCTTTCCTCTGTTCTTCTTGTTTCCATAGCGACGTTTGTGTAGGCCAATCACAGGATGACAGCATAGTGGGGATGAAGCCGTCCAAGCAGATCCCACCAGCTCTTCCGGTCAGTGGGAACCTGTCGTCGTCGAACCCGGACCTCCTGCAGTCACACCACCGCATCCTCGACTTCAACAACCAGCCTGGTGTGTATTCACACACTGTGGGGGCTCAATGTGAGACTTTGACTCAGTGGCATCAGTGTGTGTATTTATAAATCCTTTAAATACTTTTGAGGTTTAGCACGTGGACCATGATTTAAAACTAAACTCTGGAGAGGATCAAGACAAGCAGGAGGGATTTATTTAAAATATGTGCTGTATGTTCCCTCCAGAAATCTTATTTTTATATCTAAAATATGCTAAAAAGTCAATGGGGCTGTAGAATAATTATTGTTTAGTGTTGCAGTGACAATATCACAGTAAATCCATATTGCCTCTCTTGGTTTTTTTTATTATTATTATTATTTTATGTCTTTCTGTGACCTTTGGTAAAAAAAAAAAAAAAAAAAAAAAAAAGCTTGAATAAATCATTCAGAGATTACAATCTTTATTGATAAGCTCTGATCGCCTATCGGCAAATCAGATGATAGCAAAAAGGTTGCATCTTTCAGGGATTTGGTCCTGTTTTCAGTCTGTAAACACAAACTCAACAGCATCTAATTTGATGCTAATTTTTGAGGAACATGAGTTCAAACATGTAGAAATTCATAGTTTGAATGCCTTTGTTTCTGTTAATTATAATGATTTTCCCCTTACAGCTAATAACATCATGTTTTTAATTCAGAAATATGGGATTAATGGAAAGTATGTTTAAGATCTGCTTAAAAGTTTTTGTTTTTAAAAGATACTTGTACTTTGTAAACTAATTTCATCAGAATGCATATTCTATGACTGTAAATAAAAGCAGCACATTATTTTCTTTTTATTTGTTGATGTAACTGGAAGAATAATTGGAATTGTCCATCAGGGCTCAAGAAAACAGAAAAGTTGTCAGTCAGGAAAACCTTGATCGATTAATCTCAGACTTTTAGGTTGAATGTACAGTTGGCATTTAAAGCATTTATTCCAGGCACAGCAAGTGATTTCAGACAACCGAGTATAGTACATGCTGCCAAGGAAATACTTTCTTCAAAATAGTTAAAAAGTATTCCTTTTACACAGATTTTATTTTACATGAATTTAGTGAAATGAACAGTGTTTTCATAATATTTTGTAGGTCTTAATAGGGCTAAACACTCAGCATATACAGTACATAGCAACTTAATTCCATCATTTGTTTCATTATTTCAGTACCAGTCGTCCCGAGTGAGTACTTCCTCTCATTATTCTCCTTCTCAGCCATTTCTTCTCTGTCATACAGGAATCTCTTAGCAGCTGTGATTTAGTAAATAGACATCTGAAATCAGTTGCACAACTTTTGGGGGATAAATGGGTGATTTAAATGGTGAGATGACGCAGAAAAATCCAGTTTTTAACCTTTGGTTTGGGTGTCATAATGGTGAATGTGGTGGTTTTTAAATCTTTGGGGTGTTTCTTTTGCTTGAACACTCAGAAACCAACAACAATCTTCGGTGTTTTCTGTTTTTAGCCAGAATAATGTAGATGTTTGCCTAAAAACAATGATTTCATGTCCGTAGATATGTCAGACCAAGTGCTGCGAGTATTCAAGGCGGACCAGCAGTCTCGGTATATCATGATTGGGAAGGACACAACGGCTAAAGAGGTGGTGGCCCAGGCTATCAGGGAGTTTGCTCTGACTGCAACGCCGGAGGCTTATTCACTGTGTGAAGTGTCTGTCACACCTGAGGGCGTCATTAAGCAGAGGCGCTTACCAGACCAGCTTTCCAAACTAGCTGACAGGATTCAGCTAAGTGGCAGGTACAGATGTCTTAAATTTGCACAAACTCTAAGAAAGAGGAAAGCTTTTCTTTTTAACAAATACTTTTTTACTCTTACTAGAGTAATTCTTGAAAAGCTACGCTTTGTTTTTACCTAAGTACAATTTTTGGTTACTCTCTGCACCTCTGACATAAATTCTTATTATATTTAACTTAATTTAATTTTATTTTTTTTGCCATAAAGATACTACTTGAAGAGCAATATGGAGACGGAGACATTGTGCTCTGATGAAGACGCGCAGGACCTCCTACGAGAAGGCCAGATCGCTCTGCTGCAGCTCAGCACGGTGGAGGTGGCCACCCAGCTCTCCATGAGAGCTTTTGAACTTTTCTGTGCCATCGAGCCCACCGAATACATCGACGACCTGTTCAAGCTGCGCTCCAAGACAGGCTCGGTCAGCCTCAAGCGCTTCGAGGAGTCCATCAACCATGAGACCTTCTGGGTGGCAACCGAGGTGGTACGGGAACCCAACCAGCTCAAGCGCATGAAGATCATAAAGCATTTCATCAAGATTGCTCTACATTGTCGAGAGTGCAAGAACTTCAACTCCATGTTTGCCATCATCAGGTTAGACAAATAAATGTTATGTATAAACATATATTTTCTTATATTCTGCCATCATTTGACTAATTGTGGTTCTTCTTGCAGTGGCTTGAACTTGGCTCCAGTTTCCAGACTAAGGGGAACATGGGAAAAATTACCAAGCAAATATGAGAAATTGTTTGGGGACTTGCAGGATCTCTTCGACCCCTCGAGAAATATGGCCAAATACAGGAATGTTCTCAACAATCAGAACCTTCAGCCACCAATCATTCCCCTGTTCCCAGTTATCAAGAAGGACCTCACCTTCCTACACGAAGGTACGTGACAGTAGAATAATTTTATATTACAAACTATTTTCACCTACTATGATTAATTGCAGTTCTGATCTTGCTTTGCGCCAGCTAAGTTTTAAACTAGGTTCTTCTGCTTGTAGAAAATATTTATGGAAATTACACTAGAATGTTTTCTTACAGAGCAATATAGAGTAGATTACAAACATTGTTTTCAATCGTCTATTGTCAAAATGTGAATAAAATGTCTTGAAGACTGTTATGCATTAACAAAAGTGCAGCATAAAGTACATAAATACTAAAACTGCAATGGCAAATGTGCAGAAGGACCGACACCTAATTAATTTAGCTTTAATAAATGGCCACAATAGCCACACATTTCTCAGAAATACATTCAAAGCTGAGACAAAACATTTTTATTTTCAGTTGTATAAAACCAGATCCCTAAACTGAAATAAAAGAAGAAAATTTGTTGACATTTAACAGCATTAAGTAAAACTTAAGCAACATCTTTTTAAATAGTTTAATGGCTCAGAAGTAGTTATACTGAATCACTGCTGAGATAAGTTAGCTAGAGTGGCTTTTGCTAGCGGTGGAGCTGTGAAAACTAACCAAATACATTTTTTATTATGGAAAAAAGCAAAAAGAGCTAGAAATGCTTTTAAATTTGTTACTGAATTATTTAATATAGAGACTACATAAGTTATCTATTTAAACAAAAATGTACACAAAGTTCATTTTGAACATGTAATGGATTACAACTAGTTAAATTGAAGTCAGTGCTAAGCTAGATTAGCCATGCTAGCTTGGCTTTGCTGTTTTCTCAATCCTTATGAAGCTGTTAAAATTTACCAACAACTACATGAAAAATGAAAAGAAGCCTTTATATTAACAAAAAATACTAAAAATAGTTGGGAAATGATGGTTTAGGTAAGCTAATATGAGAAGTCAAAAGCTAGCATTAACTTAACGGTTTTGCTGTGGTAGCTGTTTGATTATTTGTGGTTGTCATGGTAGTTTGTTGTTTGTTTTCAGAAATCCAGACCTGTTGTCCACAAACACTCTTATATTTACATTTCTCCAATGACTGAAATACATTTCATGTATTTAATTCTCAGGCAATGACTCCAAAGTGGACGGTTTGGTGAACTTTGAGAAGCTTAGGATGATTGCCAAAGAAATCCGTCATGTCGGCCGCATGGCTTCTGTCAACATGGACCCTGCTCTCATGTTCCGAACCAGGTAAGGAAAATCTATCAATTAAAGTCAGGAATTATAATCAAGTCCTCACCTCCCCTTTAGGACCAGTAATCATCACTCCACTGACTAACCATCCCTGTGGGGTCAATCAGTCCACTTAGATTCGGTCAAGTTTCTGCATCACGCTTTTCTTTCAAGCAGCTGTTCTTTTTGGCAAATGTTTTCTCGAGCAACTGTTTCCTTAAACGCGCTGTTGGCGTTACGAAGTGCTCAGAGCTTCTATGAAAGCAAGTCTTTGTTCAATGATGTCTTCTTAATGGAGTGTCGCCACTCAGTATCCTTTCTGCCAACTTTCATGTGGGTGTTTGGTGTAATTGCTTCTCTTTGGTGATCTTAGTGGTCTTTCCTGTCCTAAGCTTTGTCTCCTTTCTTTCTCTTTGCTCATAAACCCTTTGCCCCTCTCCCCCATGCTGCTGTTTGTGGCATCCCAAATTCTAGGAAGAAGAAATGGAGAAGTTTAGGGTAAGTTTGGTGACTTCCCTGCAACATAGCCTGTCTATCTGCAAACTTTTTGTTCTGCTTTGCTTCTTTTCTAAAGCCTTGTTTTTTATTAACCAGCTTGAGTTCCTCCCACTAATTCTCACTGACACTAACCTCAGGATACTGAATGTACTGACTGTAACAAAGGTCACATTTGCTAACAAAAGGTCACACTGGTCACTGCTGGGCGTATAATAGCAAATGTCACCTTCAGTCATGTTGTTTTTCAACTGCATGCAGTCTCAGTTTTAGAGTTTTACAGCCTTCAGTTTTATCCTTAAGGAGAGTTTCATAATATTCATATTGTTCATTCTTTACATTCTTGTGGTCAAATTATACATTATAGAATGTTTAATGGGAAACAATGCAGCACATTTCACTCATTTGTAAATGTCATTTAAAATGCAGTTTTCATATTGTACAAGTTTTCATAAGCTTGTTTTCACTATGATAACATTTTCTCGAAAACTTATCTGAGAAAATATATCTTGACCACATAATTACTCAAATGTTTCCATGAAACTTTGTACATTTCTGTCCACAGGCAGCTGTCATGTTGCTTTTTCGTTTTGCACCACGAGTAAAAGCTACTACGATTACGACCAACTCTTACTCAAGCCACAGAAATGTAAACTATGACTTTGCTACAGTAGTCTCCCTCTTTGCTCCTCTGCTGTTTGACTCAAGCTGTCGGTCCTCTCCACCCCCCTGCTGCCTGGAATGACTGGAATGTTTTCAAGTTGAAGAAAAAAAAACGAAAGCTGATTTCTGCATGTCTCAGTTTAAACACCACAAATTCCACTAGAGTTTAACAATCTCACCCGCATAAGACACTTATTAGCTCTTTAAGACAGTTTATTAATCATTTTTGTCCCTTTTTCTATTTGTTTGTCTGTACCCCACATTCCCTTTTCCGTGTTGTTTGTTGTTCTGCTTGCACACGTGTGTACTTGACCAGGTCTTTAAGTCAGGGCAGCTCCAATGCAGCAGTGCTCGACGTCAGCCAGACAGGTGGCCACAAGAAGCGGGTTCGACGCAGCTCCTTCCTGAACGCCAAAAAGCTCTACGAAGACGCCCAGATGGCCAGGAAGGTCAAGCAGTACCTGTCCAACCTAAGTCTGGAAACCAACGAGGAGAGCCTTCAGACCTTTTCCCTACAGTGTGAACCCTCCATCAGCACATGTAAGCACAGCTCTCACTCTTATACTATAAGTGTGGTATATATGTTCAGACTTGTAGTGCATGACAGCTGTGTATTTATTTTCATCAAGAAACGACAAAATATTTAAAAAAAGAAAAAGCTTGAACAAAGAAAAGTGACAATAGGGGACACAAATATGCAGAAAAAATATGACTGTCCATTTGAAACGCCAAATTGGGCCATCAGTTCATAACACAAAGTGTCCAGCTTGACTATGAGTTTGTAAAGTGAACATTTGTATGATAACATATCTGGTAAGGTGGAGGATGTCGAGGAAAAATGTCTTTTTAGGTCACAAAAATTAATATTATGACTTACCCAGTTCTGGTCAGCATAATACTTGCTTTATATTTGTAAGCGATTAAGTGTTTTAAGTATAATATTTGCCATTTTAAAAGTCAAACACATCTAGATGATCTGTAACATAAAGAATGTAAATAAAAAAAATGTAAAAAAAAAAAATCTAAGAATTGAGGATTAAGTTCTTTTGGGTGTTAAAAAGGCAATAAAAGTTTGTCCATGTCAACATTCCCACCCACATTCCCAATGAGAATTCTTTGATTTAGAGAAATAAAAATTAACTCCTGCTTTTACATCCTCAGTGCCCAAGAATGCTGGTGGGAAGCGACCCGACACTTCCCCGGTGGTGTCCAGAGCAGCCAGTCAGCAGCGGGGCCAGTTAGCTAAAGGAAACCAGGTCCTGCAAGTTCCCACTGTGGCGCTCTACCCGTCCCGGAAAAGAGTGCCGGTCAAGGATCTGCCACCTTTTGGTAGGAAAATCATTAACTTTTTTTTCAGTTTAGGTGTTAAATTGTGTTTGATGCAGCTGGTTGATTCAGAGCTGCTATGAGATATATCTGCTACAGATAAACTAGTAACATTTAGGGAGGTTTTAATTGGATGAAAAATCGGTTGGGTTTAGTTTTCCAAACAGTAAAAGTATCTTTTTCTCTGTAACAATGATGCCACCTAGAGGCTGCCTCCCAACAAACCAGCATAAAATCCCAGACAATGCAGCCTGACCCCCCGGGAAAATGGCTGTGTTCCTCCTGCTAATTATGCTTGTTTTATTGGAAATGTCCACAGGCACCAGTTCGCCCCAGTCCCTGAAGAAGATCCTGTCTCTGTCTGAGGAGGGGAACGAAAGGCACCGGAGGCAGCCAGAGGACACCATGTCCAACGCCTCCTCCCAGCTCTCCTCTCCGCCCACCTCCCCCCAGAGCTCACCAAAGAAGGGTAAGCCAACATCTACCCCCACCCCTCGCCGCCCCAACTCAAACCTTTGAGCTCTTTCTCTGCCACTGTGTGCCGCTCCTGCCACCTGGTGGCTGCCAGCTGTATTTTTCCTACAGACATGACATCTGGGATTTTATTCCAAAATAAAGATTTTTTTATCAGTTACGGTTCTAATATGTTCAGTAGAAACAGAAAATGATTAAAAAAGGGTCAGTATTTTAACTTTTTTTTTTAGTTCTGCCAGTTTGGCTTTTGTGTTGTTGAAACCCAGAATCTTTTTGTTCCCCATTTCATCTGAACCTAATAGGTAAATCTTTTAAAATGTTTCTTCCAGAGGTGACACATCCTTTAGAGAAGATTCCTACTGCTAAAAAAAAAAACAAAGATATTTTTGCATGCACCATTTTCAAGTAGAGATGCACCAATCTGATTTTTGAATAATTTACTGATAACGAAACTACTTTTACTTCTGGGTGTATAAAACTGACTTAAGAATAAAATCTTAGGATTACAGTTTTGTTGTTATTTGCATCACTGAAAATCAATAAATACAGTAAATTTATTGATTGGGACATACTCTTTGTCCCAGAAAGTTCTTGTACACAGATATTATGCTAAAAAAAAATTGATTTGCAAAATTTTAACCCACTTACTTTTTTGTGCATCATATCACAAAATTGTATTTTTTTTCTAGATTCATTTCAAATATGTTTATTTTTAAAAATATTGCCTCTCTGCCCCTTGTTGAAATGACATCAATTCTTTTGCAGTGCAGAAGGGAAAGCATGAACATCAGACTTTACATATGTTGTAATTATCTTCTTTAACTCAGTCACACATCTACGTTTAACGTCTTGATCTTCTCTGTGTCGGTCCAGGTTACGGCAGGTCAGGCGACGCCTACTCAGACTCTGGCCACAGTGAGATCTCGTCCCGCTCCAGCCTGGTCAGTAACTCGTCCTTCGACATGGCGCAGGAGGAGCGCAGACTGCGTCACTCTGGAGGAGCTGGCGAATCCCACATGGGGGGGCCTCGGCTGGAGAGAAGAGCCACGACCGACCCTGATCAGTACAGTCTGGGGTATGGTAACCAAACGTTCTGTTTGAAAAATGTCGGGAAAGTGGAAGTAAAGTGATTAATATTTTTTTATGAATGTGTGTTGCAGGTCCTACTCTTCGATGCAGGACTGTCGGGGTATTTACGCCGGCTGCCCCACCGTCCTCTCCTCGCCCAGCTCAGAGGAACTGACTCAGGATCAGGGAGATCGCGTGTCTCTGGACGCTGCAGACAGCGGCCGCGGCTCCTGGACTTCCTGTTCCTCTGGTTCCCATGACAACATTCAGAACATGCAGCAGGGCCGCAGCTGGGAGCTCGGCATCGGAGGGCTGTCTTCGGCATCGGAGGCATTGTTAGGGGGTCCGGCGGCACTGTGGGCGGCGCAGGCCAGGGGCAGCTGGGCATCGGCCAGCTCCTCCTCATCCTCAGCCGCCTACTGGGGAGAAGAATCAGAGGGAGACACAGGGACGATCAAGAGGAGAGGAGGAAAGGATGTAAACGCAGACGCAGAGACGAGTAGCATCACATCCACCGGGTCGGAGGAGGCCAAGCAGCTCGGCCGGCCGTCTCCATCACCCATCACAGCTGGGGGTAAAGCTTTTCTTTGTGAGTGTTGGTTCTTGTCCTGTCAGTCAACCAAACTTTATTTAGAAAGCACTGCTCATCCGTTCTCATGTTAGAGTAGTTAGAGTAGTATTGTTACTTTGCAGCACAGAGGTTTGAATAAGGCAAATAAACCAGAAACGTATACTGTGCAGTTTACCCAACCTGTTTCTGTTGCGACTCCTGTTGCATAAATTTTTGCAGCTCAGAAAGTGTCCAGTCCCTTTTCTTCTTAACTGTGATGAGATTTCCAAGGTTGCCTCTGTTGCAGAAGTATTTTAGCAACACTTCACTGAGCTTTGTTTTAAAATCCTGGTCCTGGATGTTCATCTTCGCCACTGGCTCATTTCTGCTGCCAAACTGCACGATGCTATGTGCATTCTGTGCAAAAAAGTTTGGCACTACTATAAATTTAATTCAGAATGGTCCTAAATAGTTTTTTTAAAGTCTTAAGTTTGAGTTGGTGAAGGCTGCAGAAACCCCGCCTGTATGTGTTGAATGTTTTCTGGTAAACCGATGGTCAGCTGGTACTCAGAGGTGCTGCCTGTGTCCCCTCAGCTCGGAAGGAGGGTCGATACCGGGAGCCCCCCCCAACTCCGCCCGGCTACACCGCCCTGACCCTCTCTGACCTCGCCGAGGGACAGCACCCGCCACCGCCCGTACCCACGACGACGGTAACCCACTCGAGCCGCCGGCCGCCAGACTACACCACGGCTCTGCAGCGCTCGCGGATGGTGACCCAGTCGCCCGACTCCCACCAGGCCCACCAGGCCGCCAAACACCGGGGGGGCAGCCTCCACCGCACCCGCTCCCCCGCAGACGAGCAAGAACCCGACGACGAAGAGGAGGGTGAGTCCTTGTCTCCCAAACTAGTGGCTCTGAGGAAACCGTTGGCCCGGCACACGCCTGAGGCCCCCAGACCATGACGGTGTGAGGGGTCAGCAGGCAGGGCCGCCCCCCACATGGCAGGTAAACAGTTCCTCCTCACTGAGGCTGCATGTGAACAGAAACAAACACCAGGACCCTCCCCCAGCACCAGCAGAGTCCTTCCCTCTGCTTACTGTAAAGGTCACAACAGGTCATGGAGCATGATTCCTATCAGTCACCGCTTCCCTCTCACTCTCTTCTCACACAACTGCAGCTTGTGGGCAATCATCTGTTTTCACCTTTCTGAACTTTAACTAGCCTCCACCTCCAGCATGCACAACACTCCTTACAATAAGTGGACTTTTCTCATGATTTAGTAGAGAACTATTGATCATTTGTGTAAATATTGAGCTGCTGGGAAGAGAGAAGCTGAAAGTCTCAACAGTACAGTTACTTTACAAAAGGTTCCTGTAGTACCTGAATGCTTCCACTTGGTGGCAGTGTTGGAAACATATGGAGGAGCAAAACAGTCCTGCTGCTGTTTCATCTGCCAAAAAATGCAGAAAGTTAGCTTGATTAATTTTTCTTAACAATGTTTTTTCAAAGCATTTTTGTTCTCAGTATGCAATTACAACAAAATACAAGAGAACTAATAGTGACTCTGCCAGTAAAACACTGAAAAACAGTTTTCCAGCCAGTTTGGACAGCCTTTGTCTCATCGCTGTTCTCTGAATTTGGACGCAGCCTTTGTGTAGCTCCCTGATTAGTTCAAGGATGGTACAAATCTCCATCCGGAGATTTTAAATTAACAACTGCAGTCTTCTTAAAGACGTTTTAATTATTTATCTTAGGTAAAGGCACAGTCACAAAAATCCAGTGTGTTTTTTGCAAACGTTGCTATATTCAACAAAGGTTTGCATAGAAATTTAACTCTAGACCAACAAAATAAAAAACAGTCAACATTCAGTTAGAAAACCTTTTTTATGAAGGAAAATGTCTGACTGTTTTTCAGAACTCCAGAAATCAGTTCTTTTCTGGTTTGTTTTGATAAAAATATTGCATATTTAATTAACTGCTGAGCAGAAAATCTGAAAAATAATTATTAATAAAATTAGTTTGGGTGTTTAAAATATTTTGGCCTCCCAAGTGATTTCATGTTGCCGTGTTTAGACACTGTAAACAGTGAGGTGAAAGGCCAAATCAGATGTGCCATGCTTGGTATATGTTGTGTCGTACATTCAGAATTAAGTTAGATTATTTTCTTACCAGGTTAAACTAATTGGTATATTTCAGTTTTTCATTAATAAGCACATGCATGCTGCAGGAATAACTGTTTACGTGACACACGTCAGAATATTGAGTCACATACCATATGAATATTTTACTCTATCTGAATTCAGACCTAAGGGATGTGCTGCTAACTGTCTCTCTTGGTCTTTGTCTCCACAGAGGACGAGCAGGTGTCTGCAGTCTGAGGGGCAACAGTGGACATTGATTTGTAGGAACTTGAAGCCCCCTGTGCCCCCCTGCCCCTTCAGATGGGCTGGATTAAAGAGACAGACCTACAGACTCGTCAACTTGCTACGTACGTGCCTGCCTCCTCCAGTCGCTGGATTCTTTGCTCCTCGTCTCCCTCCCCTGCCTTAAAGCATCATGGGGGGTTTGATGACCCTGCATGCAAAAAAATACTGTGAAGAAGAGACGGAGAGAAGGTCAAAGACAATGACAAAATGCCTGGCACTTTGGACAAATAAAATATTACAATAAAAAAAAAAAAACAAACAAACTGAGAGACAGAAAACAGCCACCTGTTGACGCAGCAGAATCATGACGTGTCGAGCTTCATCTGCACTTTCTCGTTTTCTCTTTTGAAAAGGAAAACCTGAACAATTAAAGATCATCAAAACAAGACTTTTTATTAAAGACAGAGAACGATTTCATCATCTTCAACTTCCCTCTAGATTTCTTCCCATTTCTGATTATTTTCCTTTAAGTGATTGCACTCGAGGGGCTGAAAACAGAAACCTGGACTGAAATGACCCGTCTGTTGTTGGAGTGTTTGAACTTTAAATCCAGTATTATCTCTTGTTCACGTGTGAACGCGTGTCACTTGTTGGTTTAAATTAAAAATTGAAGCTACTTGGTGTGGAGAACCATCATGCAGTATACTGACATGCAACTCGTTGTACCTACCAGATACTCTAATTCTTGCACTTTGAGCACAATTGTAATGTTTGGTTTGATTTCCAGGATATGAGCGAAGCATTCATGTCGCAGCTCGTCTCCTCTGTGTTCCAACACAACACAGTTTTGACCTTTGGGAGATAATAGAAAAGCACACTCACTCAAAATCATGTATGATCGTCTCCCTTAAGTTAAACTAAAACCAGGAATTTATGATTAAAACATAAATACCTTTCCATTTTTTTTGTCTTGGTATTGAGAGATGACATAGTGCACATTTCAGGAAGCATTATCGGGTAAAGTTGGAAGAATATTTCAAAATAAAAGCATCCACTGATTCAGATTTGGCCGTTTTCCGACCTGAACACGCATCCTGTGAAAGTCAGAGCGCCTTACATTGCCATGGTTGCAGACATGTCTTTACACGGTCGATCACAATGCAAATCAAACTGTTCCGGGATGAAATGCCTTATTTCTGATGCTCCTTTTTTTAAAACGAACAACCAGACTAAAAAGTTTGAGTTTTGTGGTGTTTTTTGTTTATTTTCTGGATGGTTTGTGGCTTCGGCCCACCGTGTGTTACCGTGTCGTAGAGGATGTGTTTCCATCTCTGCTGTTGTGCTTCTAGTTTCATCCTCAGAAATACTTCCTGTCTGTTACAAACATCAGCCTCTGTATATCAAAGTTTTCTCCTTATCTGGCCGTCAGTGGAAGTGACTCAAGATTTACATTTGTTTAGTTTTTATTTTTGACTCCGGTGAAGATGGTGACATATGAAGTTTAATTATCATGTTTTTTCTTTCAAAGCTGCCAATCGCCACACTTTGAATATTGTGAAAAGAAAATGAGCGTTTTGTTTCCTTCTATCACAGCGTCACACTGATCACATTGATCAGTCCTGGAAGCTACAGACTGAGTAAATAGATGAACGACTGCAGTGTTTTCCACTGTGTTCTGTGACTACACATTAAATGATTTCTTCTTTTTGTAACGGCTGCAGATTGATTGTTAATAATTTGTTTGTAACACAGTTATGCATCATTTACTTTCATTCAACTCTGAAGATAATGTGCATATTAGCAGGTCGAGTCGTAATTTGAAAAACAAAAAGTTGCACAAAAATTGTACAAGCATAAAGATAAGTGTAGTAGGTAGAACTGCTACTGCGTTCGGTGTGTGATGTCAGTGAGGTGTGTACATTTAGCTGGTGACGAACTTCTTTTCTTCATTCTTTCTTGTACTACTTCAACCTGTATGTCTTTTAAAAAGACAGTTGGTGGAGTACGTATCAGTTGTTTTTGTATTTTTAATACAATAATTGTAAATATTGGTTATATTTTTGTTCAAATGTAAAATGTTTATGCCTCAACATCCAGTTTATATGAAGCTGGGAATCAATAAATACTGCATAAAGACTCAGTTCTAAATGCCCTATTTATTTTCCTCCAGGTTTTCACCCTGATAAAAACGTTGTTACTAATTTTCTATCTGACCACATTGTGTCAGAATTGAAACATTTTCTTCCCAGTTTCATTTTCTTGCTCCGTATTGTTTTGTGCAGGTCCCACATCTCCATTTTTCATTTGGCTTTTGTTATTAGCAGTTTCATTTTTAATAAAACAGAGAAGCTGCAGATCATTACAGTACAAAGCTTATTACTTCTGGGCAGCTTTTTATTACTCCTGCTTTCCTTTTACAACAGCTTCCAGATATTTTATTTTGAGAGGAAATGGAGTTAAGGAGTTGACTGAAATTACTTACAGCAACATTTTATTTCAAACCAGATTTTTTTCACACAATGTAAAAATAAAGTTGTTTTTAGGTCAGTTCAGATTAAAACGGTCAAGTATCTATGATTGAGATTTGGGGCCATTATTGATACAAGAAAAACAAATTGGACGAGTAAATTTCTGCCAAAAACCACGTCCCCCAAAAAATGACATGTTTATAAGAAAAAAAACTTGGAAACTGTTTAAAATTTGTACACTTATAAGAAAAAATAATAATTTTCCTGACCCTCTGACGTAGGGTCAGAAATTTCCATCCATTTTCTTTACACCCTTGTCCCTTAGTGGGATCGGGAGGTGCTGGTGCCTCTCCAGCTATCGTTCCAGCCGAGAGGCGGGGTACACCCTGGACAGGTCGCCAGTCTGTCGCAGGGAAACACAGAGACACAACCATGCACACACACTCACACCTAGGGACAATTTAGAGAAACCAATTGACCTGACAGTCATGTTTTTGGACTGTGGGAGGAAAACCAGAGTACCCAGAGAAAACCCACCCATGCACAGGGAGAACATGCAGACTCCATGCAGAGAGACCAGGGAATCGAACCCAGAACCTTCTTGCTGCAAGGCAACAGCTCTACCAACTGCACCACTGTGCAGCCGGTCAGAAATTTGTAAGAAAAAAAAATACATTCATTTCAGACGTTTACTAAGACTTTAAAATCAGATATTTGAGACGAAAACGCCAGTTGTCCTCTAAGCCTGAGGTGGTAAATGTAGGTCTAAACGGTTTCAGAACATCTCTGGTCCAGAGTTGATGCAGCCATGATGCCGTTTCTTCATCTCGGTCTGAGGTGAGTATTCTGGATCTCATCGAGGCATCCATGGTGAGTTTGATGTCGTTCTGATGCAGGAAAAGAGCCCAGATTTACCTCAATCATTGTGGAAAGTAACCAAATGTGCATCTCTATATTTACCACTTCAGCCTTGGAAGACTTCTTATTGCAAATGTCTGACTTAATTATCTCTTTTTTTTTTTTTTTTTTTGGCTTATGCAATTCTGACTTTGTATTATCTGAAAATATCTATTTGAATGTAAATTTATGCTTTTAGTCATGGGAATTGACATTTTCCATGATGATGAAAAATTAGAAATGTTTCTTGTAAAAATGTGATATCAGTCTTAAAATGTCTTAGTTCCTCTGCAGTCAGTTATTTGCTTGACACTCAGAGTTTTATAGAATTATGTGCTAAACTGTATTCTTAGAATCATTTTCTTTTTGCTTCCAGGCTTTAACATCCTAACTTGACTCGAGATGCTTCTTCAGTATTTCTTCTTTATGTTCCCTCCTCATGATGCTGCCAACACTGTGCTTTAGATGTGATGCTGTTCACAGACTTGTACGTTTCCTCCTTTCTCCTCCTAATGCAGCAATGGTTTTGTAACCAAACACTTACCGAGCACATGGCATGTCTATAAAAATCATGCTATTTGTCCATTTGTAAACTGTAACCTGGCTTTTTATTTGTCCTTTAATGGTTTCCTCATCGCTGAGTCGCCTTTCAGCTCATGTTGGCACAAGGATCATTGCAGCCATTTTCACGTGTCAGTGTAAAGGGCCCTTGGCCAGCAGTAGCTAATTTGGATTTAAAAAGACAAGAGGCCCTGAAACGGCTCATTCTGAAAGGAGCTAAAAAATAGCCAGAACTGAACAGACTAAAATCATATGCTTTGTATGATTTATAGCTCTATCTTAACTTGTTCAAGAATGTCACCTTTAAGATGTACCTCTGTTTTGACCACCAGAGGGCACTGTTTCCCTAAATGTCATATTTTCAAAATGTTCAGGATGTCCAATGTATTTGATTAATTCCCATTCTTTGATGAAGCTGGTGGTAGTCATAAAAGCTCTCCCCCTCTATCAGTTGTGCTGACGTTCCCTCCGCTGCAGCGCGGCGCCTCAGCTTCTTGTTTATCGGCGCTGGCTCAGATGGCGGCGATGCCCTGCTCTCCAACGGTTTGACATTCTGACTGCAGCTGGTCGACACCATATCACAGCTCGACATTTCCAGTCCTCATGAATAATGCAATCCCATCGTGTTGCTTCCCGTTAATGCTGAGCCCAGGGCCCCAATTTGTCACACTCGACAAAAAAAATAAATAAATAAAATAAAATAACACACAACCCAGCTGCGAAATGAGGGGAAAAAGCTCAACCCTTTAAATAAGGGTAGAATATCAACTTTACTCACTATTTTGGGACTTCACCGAACCTTTGCAACTATGATGCAGAATTTAACCGGCCTTCTAGAAGCATTCTTGCTCAACATTACAACCTTCATTGATTTTATGGGGATTTTATGAGACACACCAACACAAAGCACTGCATTTGTATTCCGACCTCTTTTCTCTGAAACCCTGAAATGAAATTGGGTGCAACCAACTGCTTTCAGAAATCACGTAATCAGTAAACAGAGTCATCAACTTATCTCTGTTTAAGCAGAGTTAGGCTCTAACATCTGTCGACTGGACAAACCTGGCCAGAAGAAAAGTCGACAATGAAACAGGAAAGCTTATCACAGTGGATAGGAAGATGGATGGAGCTAAATGTAGAATAATCCTGGAAGAAAACCTGTTGGAGGCTGCAGAAGGGTTGAGGTGGATGTTCACCCTAAACATCCAGCCAGAGGTGCAAGAAAATTGCTTGGATCAATACAGAATTATGTGTTAGATTGACCTAGTCAAAGTCCAGACGTAAATTCAATCGAGAATTTGAAACATGTCACAAACTAAAATATGTATTTGCTGTAAAGGCTGCAAAATATGATTCTACAAAGTTCAATCCACCAATGAGTGGAATAAAAAAACATGCAACATATTTAAATTCTGAATTATTTATGACACAATGTAGTATTTTTCTGTCATTATGTTCTACTTGGTCTCTCCCGTTTTTAATAATGTGTTGGGCAGTTTTCAACCCAATTCCAGTATTTTCTTGAATCTCCTTAGATATTTTTTCTGTTTGCTGCCAGTGATTTGATCGTTCTGAAGCATTTTTTCTCAGGGTTGTTTAAGAAACAAGAAGCTACTCATTCCATCACCTGGAGTTAAATAACATGTTTACAAGCTGTAACTATAGGAAGCTCAGACCTATTCAGTTACATTCAGTTGATTACTCTTTTTTTGTCCAAGTAGAGCATAAAGGATAAAAAAAGACAGGTTTAAAAATACTATCAAGTAATTTTTTGTGATTTTAATTTTTCTTGGGTGATCCATTCTTAAGATGTTTTCATCTTTTATACTTTGGGAGAAATAAATGTACCAATTTTGTCCAGATCCAGTTTATTTATTTCTAGTCTGCAGGTAACAGCTGGTTATTTGTATTTTCCAGGAAAGCCGTTTATTTCATTACAATAAAAGCCTGCAAGGCTTGAAAATGACGCATCCTGGCAAAAATAGCTTCTTTTTTTTCTTCCTCCAAACAAACACATCCAAAGCTTTGACAAATCATGCTTTCACTGTGATAAAGTATCTGAAGGGAGGAAAAAAATGACTCTCCCTGCAGCCGCCTGCTGTGGAAAGATAACTGTGACTGACATGAGACTGCATGTGGAACTGCAACAACGGAAAACACACCCGCCATCAAGTTTAGGAGGAATCACTGCAGCAGTCAGCGTCCAACACTACAGCCGCCACCAGACTGCAGTCAGAGGTGGGAGGTTTATCACTCATCCGGCTCAAGGACTGTGCTTTGTTCCCACTGACACCAGGGGGCACTGTTTACCACAAAATGCTGCCAGGTGGACCTGTCCACTCTTTCCCTGGGCAGCGGACCTTATCGAGGGGTAGCAGGCGGCCAAACGGCCTGTGTAGATAGCCAGCTGGTTATTTGTGTGAAGCCCGGGCCCAGAGTTGTCGACCATGTTCAATTGCAGCAGCTGCAGGTCATATTATGGGGCTGTCTGGGCTCCTTTCATGGTAAATTGGATGAAGGCAGTTGCAGTGAGGGCCGAGGGGAGTGGAGATGTCACCGCCTGCACAGAGTTTGTCTGGACTCAGCGGGTCTGAACAGAACCTGAAAGACAATTCAGTTTAAGGCCGTCAGAGTCAGAGAATTGAGAGAAAGGAAGATTCATAAAAGCTGCTCTGGCCAGATGCCTTCCTGACCAACTGTCTGTGATAAATCCACGGGAGGTCAGAATGAGGGTGAAAACATGCTCACTATGTTTAGAAATTTGTTTTGATTAGAAAAATATTTGTAAAAGTGCCCATGCTGCTTTTATCACACCCATCTTCACAGGTAGGGGAATGTAATTTAATATCAGCATGAGTTATTTTTAATTACCGCTGGTGTTTTCTCTGGGCTTTAATTTCAGATTATTCTGAAGCCTGCTGTTAATCCAAAGCTATTTGTTTACTTGTTTATTCATTAATTTCCACCAAAGTACTTACTAATCTTCCTGGGCTCCAGTTGATGAAATACCAAAAATCCTATACTAAGATTAGTCAAATTTTACAAATTACATACATGGAACTGGATTTAACAAATGCAATTTCAATGCTCTTTTAAAAGAAAGTGTACTGTTTAAATCTGATGTTTTAGGTAATTTGTTCTGTGGAGAAAATATTTTTGTGACAAGTTTGTCTTTGTATAGTTCACTAATTTAGTCTCACAAGAGTTTCTGGTAAAATAATTATTCATTGATTCAGGTCTCCCTGTTAATATTACTTTGTTATAAACATGAATAAATCATACAGGAACCACAACAAAGTGTGATGCATTTCAGAACAGACAACACTAAGCAAGCAGCCTTATTATGGACGACCTGCAGCCTTGACAAATCTGAACTTGCATCAAATCTTTACAGTTATTTCGTTTTGCCTTGAAATTGGCCGGTTCAGTTTACTTTCCACTATCTACATTTAACAGTGTTTTTAGATAATCAGCTCCAAACCAGGTGGGTGTTTTTTTTTATCGAACATCAATCACATTTCATCTGCTGTGAAATGAAATATGATTCATGTTTTCTTGTGATGTGCTGCTGGTGCTGCTCTTCCCTCAGCTCTGCCTCTTTGGCTCTTGAATTTTCCTTTTTGTGGAAGATGAGACGATAGTGAGATCCGCCTCTGACAGAGCACCTGCACATGTACAGCGATAAGAAGAGGGAGGCGCCCAATAAACGGAGGGGACTATCTATCTATCTATCTATCTATCTATCTATCTATCTATCTATCTATCTATCTATCTATCTATCTATCTATCTATCTATCTATCTATCTATCTATATCCGTCTGTCCGTCTGTCTCTATGTATCTAATCTGATTAATCCCATAAATAAAAATAAATATCTTTCTTCAGGCGCTCTCTGTTCTCTCTGAACGACTCACTGGAACCCACCAGCCCATGCACTTCTGTCCTGTTTCTTTTATCATTCATGGTGTTTGCAGGAAAATCACTGAGGAGGAAAACTTCCTCTCGCTATCTGCCGTGGAACGGAATAAAGGTCTGGAATTACAGAGGACAGCGCTCACATGCAGAACTTCAATGTTCAGCCACAGTTTTGGCTCAGAAGAAGTGGCATGTTGGATTTAAAACAATGTTTTTTAAAACCATTTTAAAGACGCCTTAAAGTGGAGAGGAAATAAACAACAACCTAAACAATTCCTTTAGAATGAAACTGAAGCTAATTTATGCTTAAATTGATCAGAGTTCCTCTGAACATCTTACTGATGGGCCGTGAGGTAAATATACCAAGACACAGAGAACATATTCTGTTAGCCACTGGACTGAACTCAGTAAAGTGAGAAACACTTGTAAGGGTCACCCACTGTTCCGTATGGTAGAGGCCCTGTGATGCTGTGGGACTTTTTCCCTTCAAGACACAGATGTAGGAGTGCATCTAAAATCAACAATCCAAACAAATTCAAAGTGGTGTCTTTTTATGGAAAATGAAATTTAGAACGATGTTTGTAAGAGCTACTGAAAATAATGTTTATGGACGTCGTCATCATGCAATTCTGACTTCTACCAGAACATTGTTACCTTGGGTCTGATGTCAAACCCAGCTCGGATTTCAAACTTCCCAGGTAACTTGAATGCAGCATCAGCTCTGAGCATGCTCCTTTCCCAGCTGCTCTGCATTCCCTGATTAGACTCACCTGGTTCGTCCATCACATCTCCTTTGATTCTAAGCTTCCTGGTTCCCAACTCCTGGTCTCATCATGTTTTAACTGTAAGTTCTGAATTTCACTCCCATCAGTTTCTTCATTTAGTTCGTTTATCAAACCTCATAACATGACAGAAGGGAGGGGGTGGGGGGGTTCTATATTGGCTTATCTTAAACACTTTAAAGAAATATCTTCATTTTTCAGTGTGTTTTTCAGCCCATCTGTCCTTTTACATTTGAAAGAATTGCAACAGGAGGAGAGCAACAACCTCTTTTTTCCTTAGATTTAAATAGAAATTATGATTAAATGAGTATTTTCTCAGCTTTTACCTTGTTTTGTGCACTGGATGTTGTCCATGACCTCCTCAGTGTGCGATGTGGCATCCAGAGCCTGAGGACGTTCATTAACTGCTAAATGTCCTTTAACCTGACGGGTTTATTCTAATAAATGAAACTGTGTCCAGCAGATTTGTTGAAGAAATCACTACTGAGGGTCAAATGTTGCCATTTTGAGCAAAACAACTCATAAACGCTCTACTTTTAGTTTCTATCCAGGTCGATTTTAAATCGTTTTCTTGATCCCAGTTGGTAATTAGTTTTATATTCTGTCCTTAAAATCCCTAGTTTATCACTAGAAACCTGTCTTACAGCCGTGGTTAAAAGTGAACATGCAGGTAGAAATGTCAAATTAGTTGTAGAATTTTAATAGTTTGTATTTTTAAATATTTCTTCTTCTAGGATTTGCTTGGTTTGGTGTGGAATGAAAATGAATCACAGCAGCTGAAGATGTAATGTTCAATTTCAGTGCAATTTTGGTCCTCAATCGAACCGAGTCAACCGGACTATCAGCTGTGAAAACATCCTAAATATATTTTCACGAGGCTGTAAGTCAGTAATTTTGACACTTTGACCGAGACAGAATTCACAGATTTTTTTTTTAAAGATCAAAAATACATGCTGACGATGAATGATGTGAACTGAACTCCTGAAAACGTAAACAATAAACTGAATGACTTAAAGGCCTGTATACAGGAAGGAAACCCAGTTCTTATCATCGTTTTCAACACACATCAGCATAAAGCCTCACACCTCGGTTAAAGACTTTTCGCTGTAAACACATGACATTACATTCTGTGTAATGGACTATGTGTAGGAAGCATGAAAGTCCATAAATGACTCATTTCCTTATGTGTTCTCACACGCTGCGTTCCCCTCCTTTCATCAACCCCAGAGGATCCCGTTTGATTTCTATCCAAGCTGTAAATATAGCTGACGGCCACGCTTTGAGATGCCCTGAATTCAGATGGATCGTTTAAGGGAACAACCACCCATGGATTCACTTACAAACCTGACTCACAATAAGCTCGTTGGCATGCAGAGCGAGGGGGCTGGCCCTTCATCTCAATGTCCTGAATGGGCCGAGTTTTATTAAAAGGTTTCAACCTACTGAGGGGGCAATTTTTAACAACAGAAAAATAGTGTAATAGGCCCATTAACAGGTGACACGCCTTGATTTACGACCGCACAGGCAGTGTGCTGATTTATTGGAATTTTAAATGTGTTTTGTATGAATAATACAGCGCCGGCCGGGGACTGTTGCTGAAAATGTCAAAAGTGAAACTGTTAATGCCGCAATATCCAATTTCTCCGTGGGGATCATTAAACTTCCATTAATCTTCTCTTTCAATGTTGCCGCAGCGTAAGCAAAGATTCGTAATTTATTAATAACCTGAAAGATAATCCGGCGTGACATTTACAGCAGGCGCCTGTTTTACAGATGATGGTGAATGGAGAAAAGTTTGCAGAGTTTGGAGCCGATTTAACCACATCAGAAGAGTTGGGGGGGGTATCCGACACGTTGAATTATTTCCTGTTTGGTATTATCTGAGGGAGCATTTCAGATTCAATGCAATGCCAAACTGAAAGATAAATATCAAATGAGCAGTAGGAAAGTATTTGCTCAATAATTTAAAATTACACGTGGGTTTACATAAATATCATGGAATATCTTTTCAAGTTTTTATTGATATTTTGAGGATTCTGGTCGACATTAAATATTTCTCCTACAGCTTCTAAGAAAATGAGAAATTGAAAGGATTTCATTACAGCAGGTTGGGAATGGTTGAATAGTTATGTAGAAGACTCATGACAAGCTGACAGAGTGCTGCATCCAGCATGCTTATGGAAAGTTGAGTAGAAGGAAAAAGTATGGCAGAAGATGTATAAAAGCAGCTGCTGGCAAGTTTAGGGAGATGAAACAGGGTTTCATTTTTCATCCATGTTTTCACCATGTCACAGATTAAAACTAAATATTGAGACATGGTCACAAATATTTAGCTTG